GATCCCCTTCCAGGACGAGGGGGGCGAGGAGCAGGAGCCGAGCAGCGACAGCGCCTCGGCGCAGCGGGACCTGGACGAGGTCAAGTCGTCCCTGGTCAACGAGTCCGAGAACCAGAGCGTCCCGGGACCCCGCCCCAGGCCCCCTGCCGCGGGGGTCCAGCCTCACCCGCTTCGGTCTTGTCCGCAGTGAGAAGGCCCCAGGACGGCGCGTTCTTTAAGGGACCCCCTTATCCCGGTTACCCCTTCCTGATGATCCCGGACCTGAGCAGCCCGTACCTCTCCAACGGGCCCCTGTCTCCCGGAGGAGCGCGCACGGTGAGTGCACGTCCCGCTGCGCCGGGGCCGTGGGAGGCGGCGGCCGCGGGGATGCGCCCCCGGCTCGGCACGGTGGGGGAGGGGCCGCCTGCGCCGACCGCGGGCAGAACTTGTTCGCGGAGTTCAACTCCCGCGACCGAGCGTGAGGGTGCGCTGGTCGTGCCTGGACGAAAGTAAAGTTCCTTTAACTTCTCTTGCGGGTCGACGCTTTAGTTGTACTCTTAAGATCTTCTTTGGTTTCCGAAATTCTTTGCATCAAGGAAAACTTGGATTTGTGCTCGCTTTTTTTTTTGGGGTGGGGAGGGGAGGTTCGCTTTCCTGCCTGGAAATCGGTCGACTTTCCCTGGCAGTTGGGGCAAGGCGGGGAAGCCGGGGTGGCTACGCTGTTCCCCGACTCTGGGTTCAATGGGCGGCTGCGAACTGGTTCCCAAGAAATCCGGTATTCGTGGCGGGTTATTCACCACCCCCCCAACACACTCCCTGACTCGCATAGGGGCCTCAGCTTTTCTGCGGAGCTGTGGGTTTAGAACTCGGCGAGATGATTTCGAGGACCCGAGGCTTGCTTCAAGTTGAGGAACTTGGCTTTTACTCCCCCCCTCCCCACTTTGTTGCCTGCTTTTCTCATTTAAAGCGAGCGCTGCGACACTTTAAACCTGTTAATGGGCGCGCATTGTGTGCTGCGAGCTGGCATTTAGAGCCGTGATTAAGCAAATTGACCGGGCCCCAGACGACGTGCAAATGAGGGCGGATTCCTTCGCCCCCTCGCTGGCTCTAAACTCCCGCCCCCCGCATCGCGAGGGGCGCAGCTCCCGGCTGGCGAGGCCTTTGTCCCGGGCTCCCCGCCCAGGTGCTGGTCTGATGGCTGCTCCGGAGAGCGTGTACCTACTGTGCGCCCGCCCCTGCTTGCTGCCGCGGGGTCCCCTGCGCTCTGTAGGCCTTTTCTTTTTCCCTCTTTCCCAGCGCCTGCCGGTGGGTGCTCGCCTGGGAGTCCGGGAGGGTTGGCACCTTAGGAGCTGGCGGAGCAAATTCCACTTTCTGCTGAAGCTGCCGTTAAACAAACGTAATGAAAAGACTGTCCGGGAAACGCTAGCTGCTGGTTGGACTGTCCTCGCTGTCACTGTTCGGCGTGGGTTCAGTGGGGGTGCTGGCATGTCCACGTCGGGAGTGGGCCTGTGCAGTTCTGACCACGGGAAGGGGAGTGGGAGCACAGACCTGCCAGCGCTGCCTTGTGAGGGAGGCGGGGAGCACCCAGGAAGCCCTGACTGAGTATGAGCCTCAGGTGGGGCCTGGAAAACTAAACGTGGGTTTACGCCTGTTACTTTTCTCCTTTGACACTGAAAGAACAATGGTGAGAGTAAAAGGTGAGCCTAACAAGCCGCCACAACTCCAAGGAGGTTTCACTGAACCCTGCCCCCCTGCAGAGAGAGCTCCCTTCTGACCCTTTGGGAAGGCCTCTGTAACTGTGTGGGGGGAGTTAAAGTCACTAGAGCCTTGTTTCTCCATTTATCATTAGGGTATCTGGAGAGAGGAGTTAGGAGGCACGGACCCATGTGCTAGCCTGAGCCAGTTCCTGCTGCAGCTAAAGTCACCAGGCATGGTCCCACGCGTGACTGTGTCCCACTCACGCAGACTGTTCCACTCCACACCGCTTTCTCTTCAAGACATTTTGACTCTTCCAGACTCTTGGGTTCAAAATCTTGGACAGTATTTTTGACAACTGCCACCCTCGTCTCCCTGTTCCATCCCCCCCCCCCCACACACACACACAAAGCCCCTAAGTAAGACAGGTTTTCTGTTTGTGTCCCTCCCTCGCTCCCATCATCTTTTTGTCCTTTGGCCTAAGAACTTGCAAGGACTGATTCTGGCTGGTTCTCGTGGGATTTCTGATTATGAAGTCCAAGTCTATGCGGCATCTTTAGAGCCCCCCTTGGAAGAGCCAGCCTCTCCCTCTCTGCAGCTTCTGACTCCCTGGACATCCTGCAGCCATTCCTGGCCCATGTCCCTATCCTCCTTTTGATCCTCCTAGGACACCCACTCTCCAGGACATCTGTTAAATTATTTTGGCCTAAAACAATTTATTTTTCTTTTAACACATCGCACTCCCCTAACCCACAGCCTGTCTCCCCGAGTGACCTGTCCTTACAGAAGTGAGTTCAGTTCCCCCAGTGTGTCTGCACCGTTACTGTGTTAGGCCTTGCTGGTTGACTGCAGAGTTCTTGATGTCCTGGGGAAGTTCCCTGCAGTCGTCAGTGCAGCAAGACAGTAGTTTGACTCTCCTTGGGCATCATGGCCAGTAAAAGAGCAAATGAGGAAACTCGCACTTGATTGAACTATAAGGTCAAAATGATGGTTTTCCTCTGTGTGATTATATGAATCCATTTCTCACTTGGGCAGACAGGTGCAGAGTGGCCCTCTGCTGCCTCCTCAGCCTGGTGAAATGAATATAGATAGATATGGGGTAGGGAGGGAGGAGACAGTGGCTGATGGGTTATGGGGGAAGGTGCCAGAGATATGTGATTCTGTCTCTTGCTGGTATCTCAGGTCTTTTTTTGTTTCACTTTTCAATTGCACATCTTTAGGCTTTGTTGTTCGAAAACCCGCAAGTGGTATAAACCTGGGTGACCCCCAGTCTCTGCCACGCTAACACTTTCTGGAAGTCACCAAGCCAGGAGCAAAAGTGTGGATTAGCTGGAGTGTTTTGGGGGTGCTAATGGACCCCAGTAAGAGCAGGCAGCAGGCCCCAGCACCGGCGTAATTCCCGCTGGGTGGTTGGGGCCGAGCAGTCCTGCCGTCTGGTCATCTCTCCCTGTGCATCTTCACCTTTGCCCTGCACTATGGTTTGGCTGAGATGTTCGGAAGTGGCCTCTTCCTGAGGCTCTTTAGAGAAGAGGTCTCCTTAACATGGGGTGTGTGCCAAGCCTCTGAGCTGTGATTGCTTCTTATCAGGAGCTTCTGGAACTCGTGGCCTGTGAAGAGGAATAGCTGCCACAGACCACTCTCTCCTGTTTCAGTCACCCCGAAATGACACGTTCATTCATGAAAGGGCTTCAACGGTTTATGAAACCACCTTGGTGCCGTTGGCTGGAGTTCTGTTAGAATGTAAGTCAGCACATCAAAGAGGATGTTGCGACTAGTTCAACTTAAGGAGCTGGCTGGTGGCACAGCAGTAGCACAAAGGTCTGTGATGCTGGACCTGCCTGGGAAGGTCCTGGGTTCACATACAGGGGCCGGGGCTGGGGGTGGGGGCGGGTCACAATGTGAAGAACCTAGTGAAAGTGCTGTCTGTGTCTTTCTCTCATGGAACAAAATACATAACCTTTTTTTTTTTTTTTTGGAGAGGTTTGTGCTATAGTGCGCTCACCAGGAAGACAGAGAGACAGAAAGCGAGAAATCACCCCCGCAGGGGGGATGGCCATGCTGCAGTCCCTTCTCCTCCATTCTCCTCTCAGGATCCTGGGCACATGCACATGTGTCCAGTGTGAGTTTAAGCCACCGGGTCCAGGACTCGAACCTCAGCTGACTACATGGGAGTCCAGCGACATAGTCATTACACCAACTGCTGGTCCCCAAACTCAAACTTTTAAACAAAGTTTCAGATGAAATAGAGTCAAAAAGAGCATGTTGAATGCAGCCCGGCAAGTGTCTAAGTCATGGAGAGTGGTTGGAACACGTGGGTGGGTGCTCCTATTCTGGAAAGGAACCTTGCTAGGTAAAGCTGCTGAGAGAGTCTGGCCTTCTTGTCCTGTGAGTGCATTTCAGAGTGATCTTGCAGCTGAAGCACGCATTGGTCATGCCTTACTCAGACCATCTCAGCTTGGATTTCTGTATAAAACTGCTGTCGTCTCCAGACGTGTGCTCATTTTGAAGTTCTTCGTCACTCACTGCTTCCCCTGGGGCGTCCCGGGCGCTCCTGTTCTTCTAGACACTGTGGAACCCAAGCAGAAATCTTCATACGTGTATAAAGAGGTTGTCTGTGTTCAGAGGCTGAATGTAAAAGCTCAGGAAAACCTTTTCTTTTGAAAGATCACTATTAACATGCCGCTTTTGGTAAAATTCTTTTAAGCGATTTCATCTAAATTTAACTTCTGTTCCATTTTTTCCTAAATATAACTCAGAGTTTAATGAGGGCTTTTCACATGCAGTGAGCTTTTCAGAGGGCCCTTGCCCATGTTGCTGAAGTGTTGGCACTTGGATTGCTTAGGGAAGCCTGAACCCTGTCCATTTATTTATTTATTTATTTTAGCAGAGAGATTTTTGCTATAGCGTGTGTGCGCTCATGGGAAAGAGAGAGACGGGGAGACAGAAAGTGGGAAATCATCCTGGGGGGGTGGGGGCAGCCATGCTGGAATCCCTTCTCCATTCTCCTCTCAGGATTCTTTGCGTGCCCGGAGGAATGAGTTTTAAGCTACCAGGTCTTGGATTTGAACCATTGTGTTTGGGACTTAAACCGCCGTGGGCTATGTGGGAGTCTAGTCACAAAACCATTAAGCCATCTGCTGGTCCCAGAACCCTGTCAGCCTTTTGTCTTTGGGTGGGTAGGTTTGGCAGGGAATATCCGACTTGATTTGTTATAAGTCTGGAAAGTTATAATTTGGCCTTGTTCTTCATTAATCTCATTCTGGGATTCTCAAGGAGAAAGTAAGCTAGTATACATGTGCACACACGTACAGACACATAAAAATCTAACCTTGATTTTTAAAACTTTTTTTTTTAAGAATTATTTCATTTTACTTATTTATTCACTTATTTGACCAGAGAAAGACAGACACACACAGGGAGAAGGAAAGTGAGAAAGCAAGGCACCAGATCCGGGACTCAAACCATGGTCAGCTATATGACCAGCGCCTTAACCACCACACCACCTGCAGGCCCACAAATATAACCTTGAATAAAGGGTGTTCCAGCTTTCACAGTGATGTGCCATGTTACAAAAAGAATTGTGGAATGAAAAATAATTTAAGTGATTAACCTCCTGGAAAAATCTTCTGTAATGGAAAGGC